GAGACTGGTAGAGAAGGGGACTGGTAGGAGAAAGGAGGGGAGGGAATAGAGAGGTGCTGGGGGATAAAATTGACCAAATTATATTGTTCTATGGAGTACATTTATGAATTAGTAACAAGAAATCCCACTATTATGCATTTTAATTGTATTGTACCAAAAAATCAAATTGTTTAAAAATTATAATTTAGTGATATACAAACAGGCCTATGTAATAGCCCCAAAAGGTGTCACAATGAAAGAATGAGTATTTATATGTTTGCACAGTTTTTTTTTTTTAAAGGATGCCAGAACTACTCAATGGGTAAAGAAGTCTTTGAAACAGATGGAGAGGTGGCCTATGGCAAGAAGATCTCAAGTTTGAGACCAGTCTGGACAACTTAGGGAGATCCTGTCAGAAAGAAAGGAGGGAGAAAGCCCTTTAGTTAAATTCCTAATACTGCAAAATAGATGATGTTAGAGCAATGAATATATAAATAAAAAAGAATGAATTTGGACCCCCTACCTCACACATATACAGAATCTAACTTAAACTGGATCATAAACTTATAGGTAAAATTTTTAAAATTATAAAAATCTTAGAAGAAATCATGAGTAAATCCTTGTAACTTAGAACATCTTGATGTTCTAAGAAACCATTGCCCAGTTTTAAGTACAAGCAACAAAAGAAAAAAATAAATCAGATTTCATCAAAATTATAAACTTTTATGTTCCATAGGACCCCATCCAGAAAGTGAAAAAAACCCTTAGAATGGGAAAAGGGAGGAAATAATTTCAAATATACTTGATAAGAAACTTATATCTGGGATATATAAAGAGCACTTATAGTTCAACAATTTAAAAAATGATTCAATTTCGAAATGGCAAAGTATTTGCACAGACATTTTTCCAAARGTAGGGGGAACAAATGACTAATAAACAATTGAAAGTGTGCTCAACATCATTAGTCATTAGGGAATGCAATTCAAACCCACAATGGGATCCACTTCACCCTATAACCACTAGGAAAGCTATAATGAGAAAGTGGGAGGGGGAGAGAAAGACAGAGAAGGGGGTGCAGAGAGAGGGAATAGTTACTTTGGGAGAACACCTAGAGAAGTTGGAATCCGCATACATGGTGGAGAGTAAAGAGATCCAGGAGAGGGAGGTAAGGAGAGTATAATTTAAATGGTATCTTCTCTTGGTTCTCCTTCACTACGCTTGAGGCAAGAATCCAAAATGGTTGGTCTTCTCCATGTTCTTTGAAGGCCTTGCCACTGCACAACTTTTTGATACAGGAAATTTGTTCTAGCTTGCATTCTTTCAAACACCCTTCCTCTCCATTCTTATCGTAGACAGTTCATCTTATAGCTCCTTCTTCCATTATCCTGTGTTTAGCCATCTTTGGAAAAAAAAATAGATATCTTAAGTTAACACATTCTCTTGTGTTCTTATTGCCCACAGAATACTCAGCCTTGTGCCACCTGTAAGAAATAAAAAGCTGTAGGGCTGGGGTTGTGGCTCAGTGGCAGAGCGCTTGCCTAGCACGTGTGAGCCACTGGTTGGATTCTCAGCACCATGTATCAATAAATAAAATAAAGGTTGATTGACAACGAAAGAAAGAAAGAAAGAAAGAAAGAAAGAAAGAAAGAAAGAAAGAAAGAAAGAAAGAAAGAAAGAAAGAAAGAAAGCTGTAAAGAAATCAAAAGACAGAAGCAAGGTGCAGGAGCAGAATGGCAGAATGGAAGAAGGCTTCTGGCCCAAGCTGCCAGCTTTATTTATCAATAGGTTACATTAGGTCATTGACATTAGTAGCCCATTATTGTTCATTTGTTATTAGGCAGGTTACAGAGTTAGCAACATTATGCAGCTTATTCCTCAGGTTCTGCAGTTGCAATATGCAAAGTTAGGAGCTTTGTGTAGCTCTCCAGAAAGTCCATTTTCTGAAGTTACCCTTAGTGGGGCAGCCTAGGAGCATCCAACTTAGTGAAACATTGTAGTTATCTGACAAGCAAGTTCCTTTATTCCCAGGAGCTACATAGCTGAGATCAAGGTTGAGGCTGATAAGACTCTAGCACAGAGCTTCCTCATTCAGGGCATTGCCACAGCAGCTAGGCATTTCACATGTATTAATTATCTTACTAGTTCCTGGGGGAAACTGCAGAATATTCCAAATGTGGAAAACAGGGTGCCTGTTACCCTCCAGGAGTTTGCTCACTAGAGGAATGCTGTCCTGTACATTTTCACAGCCAGAATCCTTACAGCCACCAAACATTGAAACTGCAAACTGATTCTCTATCTCCTCTTTATCCTGCCTTCTCAATAAATTTCATGTTTCCCTCTCCTCCTTCTAATAGATGCAAGAAGACATTAGTCTGGGGAATGAGACACCAGTTTCTTTCATCCATATATTCTCAATCCTCCAAGTGCTTTCCTAGGCTCGCCTTACTTGGCTTGCAGAAAACTGAACAGGGCTAGCATTTTTGCATGGAATTGGTCTGGTGTCTCCTGTGATTTATGTACTCTTTCGGTTTACTCACACATTTATTTTTTTGAGCATAAATCTATTTCTAGGAGGACTCCATTGGGTTAGTTTTCACTGATTCTGCCTTTTTATATTCCCATGATAATTTATTTCAAATGCCTTGCTGAACTTTCTACTTTTGGGGTTTGGTCAGATTTATTTTACTACACCTCGACAGATATTCTTTATGTTGGGTAAATACTTGGGATAAACATAAAAACACTCTAGATATATTCAAGTACTACCTATAAAACATATATACATATATATTTATTTATTAAGCCTGTTTTCAGGAACATTTAAATAAAGTGACATTTAAAAAATTAGTTGAGGGGCTGGGATGGTGGCTCAGYGGTAGAGCGTTCCCCTAGCATGGGTGGGACCTGGGTTCCATTCTCAGCACCACATTAAAAAAATAAAGACATTGTGTTGTGTCCATCTACCCTGAAAGTAAATATTTAAAAAATAAATTAAATAAATAAATTTGAAAAAAAATTAGTTGCACCTGGGCAATGTTAGAAGATTACCTAAAAAGAAGTACCATTATTATGTACCGAACTAGATTACCAGCCGGATAAGTGCTCATCTATGACCTCGCTCTTCTTCTATTATGATATTTATATAATTTATTAACATTTCTTGTTTGATTTTTCTATCCTCTGTGATTATCTTGTACCTGWTTGTAGCCACAGAACTAATTTCAATGCCCAATGGAAATTGAAAGACTTTGGAAATCAAGAACCTTATCAGGCCCAGGGTCCTTTGAAATCTTTACTTGAGTAAACAAAATAATTTTTGAATCGTCCTTATTGTATTTTTAAGAGAGCAGTGGAAGCTGGATAGGTGTTCAGTGGCATTTGATTGCTTGGTGCACTCCCTCACTCTCTGCCCCAGTTTCTGTTCTAATTAAAGGGGAAAAATTGGGGTTGGGGCCATAGTTCAGTGGWACAGCATTTGCATGGTGTGCTGGAGACCCTGTTTTTGGTCCTCAGCCCTCCATTTAAGAAATAAAGGCAGGGAAGTAGGACAGTTTAAGAATAGTAGCTATAACTTGGAAATGTTTTTCAATTAATATTTACAGTAAGTGTAAATATTACACTTACTTACTGTAAATATTACACTTGCTTAGCATCTGGATGGCCATCTTAGGTGACAGCCATTTTAAGAAAAAGTTCTGCTTTGAGGCACAAGGGCTTTGTGAGAAAGGCTCACCACTCTCATACCAACCCCAGCTTGATCCCCGGCATTAGGACCTATTTGGTTCGGATCTCTGAGCCTGCCCCATAAAAGTCCTGAAACCCAAGCCTGTTTTGCCTCTCTCTGTCTATGGAGACATGTGCCTTTATTTGTCAGCTCTGACAAGTAACCTCTYGTGTGTATCTCTGCCTGGTCTCCCTCTTTCATTTCTTGCTCGCCCGTCTCCCTGTTCCACACTTTCCTTTCAGTAAGCACTCCTTATCTGTGGGTTCTGCATCAGGGGATTCAAGCAATCCCGGACAGAAAAATATTCGGGGAAAAAAATGAACCTGTATTAAACGTGTGCAGATTTTTTTTCCTTGTCATTATAAACAATAGAGTATGCAACTGTTTGCACAGAAGTTACATTGAATAGGTATCACCAGTAATCGAGATGATTTCAAGTATACAGGAGGATGTGCTGAGGTTATATGTAAAGACCGCTTAAGCATCTGAGGATTTTGTTGTTCAAAGGGGTCCTGAGACCAATCCCTTGCAAACACCGTCAGATGACTGTATTTAGCCTCCACAAGTGAGGATCCATGCGGAAAAACATGTCTTGAAGAACCAAAAACGAGGAAGGCAGGATGGAGGAGAAGGAATTTCCCTGGCCTATGACGCCTCTCCAACGCCTGAGGATATTGGTTCCCATCTGTGCACTTTCATAAAAGCCGAAGAAACAGAGGTCCTTTCCCTCCTGCAGGGAAGGCTCTTAGGGTTTGAATCCTAAAACGGTTCAGTGAGCTCTGAGCAAGCTGCCTTCTTGCTGCCTCCTACTTTCTCAAGGGGAGTAAGATCTGACAGCTGTTTGGGGAACCAGCGTTTCAGGAATTTTTGCTTTTCAAAGCACAAGTGTGCTATCTTCTAACAGCCGTGAATATTACTAATTTGAGAAAAGACCTAATCGATCTATCTTGCTAGAAAAGCCTTTCATTCCACTCTTAGAATATCCAATCACTGGACGGTTCTGAATTACCTTAACCCGGTGGAAGGTAGAAATTCTTCAGGCCTCACAGATGCCTCCATCCTCTGCTGTGAACGCTAGTGTGGGTCTCCACTTTTTCCCATTATCTGCCCGCAGGGACGTGCTTAGTACATTTTTCTATGTAATTACACGAGCGTGATTATATGTTTTATTGAGTTTGAAAGAAATGATTATAAAATCAATATATTTGAAAAGCCCTTGCATAATAACCCCTATTGGCAAACAGCTTTTCACCTAATGAAGTACAATCCTCTCAGAAAAGGGGGCYAGCAGCCACGTGGCTCTGTGGCTTAGTTGGCTAAAGCGCCTGTCTCGTAAACAGGAGATCCTGGGTTCGAATCCCAGCAGGGCCTTGTTGGCAACAACTTTTCTTAAAAAATTGGGCAGATGAGCACCTTGAATTYAAATCTTAATCTGAAATCAATGTCTTTTTTTTTTTATTTATCACAACATTAAACTTACTGTTTAGAACTTTAACCTCTCAGACTTCTCATTTAGACTACACACTTAAGTACTATAAGTTTCTATGATGATCTATCTCATGATTACATTGAGATTTAACTGTATTTGGGGGCTCAAGATCAACCATGGGTAGGGAATTTCTTCAATACAACTGGAAATTTTAAAATTCAAACCATTTAAAATATATTCTGATGATTTCTTAAACTACAATCTTAAATCATGCATAAATGAAAAATGATCGCAACTCACAGAGTACTTACTCTGGCATTTGTGTCTTTTCTCAAATATTTTTAATGTATAGAAATACTCATTTTACATGCACATTTTACAGAAATTAGGAATGAGAGTGAAGTAACTTACCAAATTCTCACTGCCAATAATGAGGCGAGGATGTAACCCCAAATTTCTTATGATCTTAAACATCAAGAAATCTTCCACTGGAAAACAACCCTTGATAAACGAAGAGCTATCACTAGGGATGGAGATGTAGTTCAAAGGTAGACTATGTTCTTTGTATATATAAGGCTCTAGGTTCTATTCTTAGTCCTGTTGTATAAGGCTAAATGATGGATCTTAAGCAAATAGAGGCTATTTTAGAAAAACATTTTATTTTCTGACATTGATTCTTATCAGAATCCCTGTACTATATTGATTTTTTATTTTTTTTTAAGCGTTGGGGATGAAACCCAGGGCATTGTACATACTTGGTAAGCACTCTACCATTGAGCTACACCCCCAGTATTCACTTGATTTAAATCAGGCCATTAGAGGCAGACAACTAGTTAAAGGTGTCATGACTCGACCAGCATGCTAATTCCCCAAAGTTATTCTGGATGTGAGATCACGGAAATACGTTTGGGAAGAAACTCTATGTGGTGCACAAACCCTTCTTAAAGCTGGTCTCAAAAGAGTGGAAAGTAAACCATCTATTTTAGTTGATATAATTATAAAGCTCTACTCATTTCATCATTTGTCCCCCAAATTATTGTGTCTACTCATAAACAAGGTAAAGAAAGGTGAGCTGATACTTTCTACTCCAACGGATAGCGTACGGGGGAGGGGAGAGACAAATTACTTACATAATAACATACATAATAACTTATGTAATAACAGACATAAATACAACATCGAGGCTGTGGTGAAATAATGACTAACATTAAGAGAGATTTGGTTTAATCCGGGAGAACAAAGAAGGACAGGCTTCACTTGCCAAGTAAGAGAACAGTACAGAAAAGACAGGTGGAGCATAGATTAATCTAGGCAGAGGGAGTCAGCGAAATGCATGGGACAGGAAGAAAGGAAAAAGGGCATGATGAGKATATGAGTCATAAGACTACAGGAGGACAGGACCAAACCACGTGATTTTTTTATTATATATTTTTTTCATTTCTAGATGGACACAATGCCTTTATTTTATTTATTTATTTTTATGTGGTGCGGAGGATTGAACCCAGTGCCTCACACATGCTAGCAAATGCACTACCAGTGAGCCACAACCTCAAGCCCCCAACGTGGGGCTTTTATAGGCCATGTTAGGAGCTTTAATTTTATATCAAGAGCAACCAAAATCATGTGGAAATGGGCATGAACACATACTTTTTTCAAAAATTTACTAGCCAAGAAAAAAATTGCAATATTTGATATTTATTCTTCTAAAATATTTTTGCTTTCTTTTTGGAAAATAGATTTGAAATTAAGCAAAAAGAGCAGATTTCAAGCAATATAAGCAGAGATGCAGGGAGTTTAAATGCATGGAATACTCAAAAGGAATTGGTATTGAGTTTTAGAAGGAAAAACTCCGCAATATTGAGTCTATTTCTCACATGTGACTACTTTTCAAGCCATTGTAAGTGAAAAATTTGGGCAGAAAAATAAGTAAATGCATTCCTTATGTTTGCTTAATTATACAACAATAAGAAATAATCCTATCCTGTCTCTCTTTACCTATGTTGATGAATTTGCTGATGTTTTAATGAGTATTTAGTTTTGCTAATTGAGAATTCTGGAATTTTTAGCTTGTTATTCTGTTTATTATCAGAAGTTCCTAGCTGCCAAAATAAGGTAGTCAGAGGATAAGTTGTCTAAGATCTTTTGAAGCCCAAGGCAGTTATCTAAGGAGCTTAAAAGACCTTGGTAGTATCTGCAAACTCAGCAAAGAGCGTCTCCCCACTATGTAAACTAAGCAAAGAACTCCTACAGGTTGTAAAGTGAAGGAGCTCTCAATTTAATCCAGAGTTGTTTTCTCCCTTTGGAGAAAGCAAAACTCAATGGCTCTCATTGTGTCCCGACGATTTCGTCTTGCCCCCGCCCCCCCCC